AAAGGTCAGAACCAGGAGGAGAGGGAGCGGGGAGCAAAAAGGATTCTCAAAGCAGCTCCTAGGCTTCCCAGCCTCTCGGATCATAGTAGGTTCTGAAGGTTGTTTCCTCCCATACCTCCTCCCACCCTTTCACCCCTCGGACCCCATTTCCAATCAGCACCCAACTGGGGTGCTTCTCTACTCATGTCGGGCTCACCCCTCCCCTCCCCCCAGAATCCAGGTGTCCAGCCCCAGCTCTATGCATGAGACGGACAGATGACACAAACAAGGCTACCAATGGTTAGGCAGTGGGGTGGAGAGTGGAGGGTGAAGAGGCCAAAATTTGGCACCGGGAGCTGCTGCAGTGCCTAGTGCTTGCCAAAACCCCAGGCCTGAGAGGTAGAGCAGGAGGAGGGAGGAGAGGGGCCCTGTCCGTGGTGCTGACGGGCAGCTCTAGTTGACCCACGGGCCGCCGCTGCAGAGTTGCCAGTGAGGGTGCTGATGACGCCCCACGCTTAACTTCTGGTCCTGTTCCCTCCTCTGGTGGCGGTGAGCCCCAGGGACATTGTCTGGATGCCCCAACCTAGAGACATTCCCTGTCTCCCTCGAGTTCCTTCATCTGTGGACTGAGGTCCATCCCTCCCTGGAAGGGCTGCTGCGAGGAGGAATTGACTTGTGTGTGTCTAACGCCTAGAGCAGTTCTGGCCACACAGAGTGGATGCTAAACTCTTTCTTCAGACCCCCACCCCGGGGACTTGGCTTCCTCTTGTCCTCTCCCCCCATTCCCACCCCTGGGTCCAAGATGAGCCTGGATCCCCACACATTCCCTTCTCTCGCCTTCTTACAGAGGTCACTTTTCAGTTCTTACATTTTCTCCCCCGCCCCACCCAGTCTGTTCTTGTCCCTCCCCGCTTAATCCTCAGGTGGGTGGGAAGGATCAGGGTTAATCCAGGGGCAACAGCTGTTCCTACCTCTGAGCACCTAATTGCTGAAGAGGGTGGGAATGGGTTTAACCCTGCACACTGGAGCCCAGGGCCTGGAGGTCCTGGAGCCCCACAAGCTAGTGGTGTCACCGTGTCTGCTGTGACTGACTCTCCAGGCCACTCTCTGCTCTAACTTCTCTTGGGCCAGTGGGACCCCTTTCCACCTTCCTGCCCTTCGTCTCTAACCTGGGCCACTGCCTCCTCTCCTCTCTCTCTCCCTCTTGGTCACACACTCCAGCATGGGTCTCTGCTTCTCTTTTCCTGAAATCATCCCTGCTAGAGTGGGCTGCCTGTCCCCTTCCAGGCCAGCCTTCCCCAGGGTTCACCTTCTGTTTCCATCTCACCCCTGGTCCTCAGCTGCCCTGCCCTCAGGTCTCACTCCACTTCTCCCTTCAGCAGCTGCTCTTATTTTGTCCTCATATTTGCGTCCCTTCTGGCTGACTTTGCTTTCATCTCTCCACCGAGCTGGGCGAGTTCCCCTGGGCCTGCCTCTTCGACCTCCCACCCCACCTCGGACCTGTCACAGGACTACAGATTTAAGAGAAGGTGCTTCAAGTGCTGACTCGAGAAGAAAAATGCAATGTTGCGTATTCATGCACTTTTCATTTTTGTTTACTCACTAAGTGCCTGGAACTTTCTCTGCTCTTGACTCCTTTTGCTCAGCGTTTTCTCCATAATGCTTGGCTGTACCTGAAAAAACAAGAGATGGGGCCACATTCAAGCAGAGCAAACACCGCTGACAGCACCACCAACTCCCCAGTGCGGCCTGTCGGGGACCCCTGTCTCGAATCTTCTAGGGGACAGCAGGGCTGAGAGGGAGAGCTGTGGAGCCAGACTTCTCATGTTGATCCCTTGGTCAGGTTACCTAGCCTCTCTCACCTGTAAAATGGGGTGACAACCATACCTACTTTTTATAGGCTTTCTGTGGGGAGTAAATACGTTTGTGCATGTAAAAGATTTAGAATATTAGAATAGTGCCCGCATGTAATAAGCAGTCAATTGATGGCAGCCAATATGCTCTCTCCCCACCACTCCCAGAATTACTCTTCTGCTGTAATTCGTCCTGATCTCAGCTGTTTCTCAGATCTGGTCTGGCTTGTTTTCTCACTCTATCTCGGCCCTCAGGTCTGTGACTGTCTTCTGGTCTCTCTTCCTTTTTCTCCCACCATATTGCAGAGAGAGAGAGAGAGAGAGAGAGAGAGAGAGAGAGAGAGAGAGAGAGGGAGAATGTGAATGAATGAATATGAATCCTGGGTGGGTCCTCAGGTCGGTCGGTGTTTGAAGCCCAGCCCTGCTACTTACCAGCCGTGTGATAGTGTGACCTTGGGCAAGGTTTTCACCCTCTACCCTTGTAACTTGGGAGTCCACTTCTGTCTCAGCGTTGTTACGAATATCACCTGAGATCTGACTCCCGTGATGCGTCCAGCATGGACCCCGGCACCTGGCAACTGCCCTGCCCACCCCCTTTCCTCCTTGACCCCCCTTTCTCTCTGCCCGACAGACACTGGCTTTCCTCTGCCTACACGCAATTTGCGGTGCCCTACTTCATCTATGACATCTACGCCATGTTCCTCTGTCACTGGCACAAGCACCAGGTCAAGGGGCACGGAGGGGACGAAGCGGGGACCAGAGCCCCGGGCAGCACCTGGGCCGCGGCACGCGGCTACCTGCACAAGGAGTTCCTCATGGTCCTCCACCATGCTGTCATGGTGCTCGTGTGCTTCCCACTGTCCGTGGTGAGTGGGGCCGCTGAGAGCCAGGGCCCCGTGTCCTGCTCATGCCAGCACTGCAGGAGCCTAGGAAGCCCTGGGTCCAGGTCCCAGCAGCAGGGCAGGCCCAGGATGGAGGGTCCCATGGAGGGGTTAATGAGCTCCAGCCCAGCCCCAAACAGCAAGAGGGTGGATCGCACCCAGCTGTGGTGCTTTGGAGCTGTGGTTACACACCACTGCCTCTGAGACTCAGTTTCCTCATCTGTAGTATCAGGAATACCATCTCACCTGCAGGATGGTTGGAGGGATACGGTGAGTTAGTGCTCCCAGCTCAGCTACTGTTCACCTGTGCTCAGACTTTCAGAGTGAAGCATCCCCAAAAGTGACGGGGGTGGGGGGGCAGGTGCTGCCCAGGAACCCAGGCTCAGGGCAGGCGGTTTCCTTCCTCTCCTCTCAGGTGTGGCGTCAAGGCAAGGGAGATTTCTTTCTAGGCTGCTTGCTGATGGCAGAGGTCAGCACCCCCTTCGTCTGCCTTGGCAAGATCCTCATCCAGGTGAGAGGGGCGCTGGGGGTTCTGAGCGTGACAGGAGGACCGGGGAAGGGCGGGCACTTTTAGGGACCGATTGGAGATGCTTTAAAGGACAGGTGAAGAGTCAGGGCTATAAGGCGGGGTATAGGGGAGGCATCAGGGCGGAGGGGGGCGGGTGGAGGGGAGCGGGGCCTGGGGCCCCTAACCTGGCCCCTGTCCGAGGAAGGCGAGGCAGGGAGGTGGGCCGAGGGGGGAGGTGGCCCGGGGGCTGAGCCGGGGGCGTGGCCGGAGGCGCCCCGCCCCTCACCCCGCCCCTGTCTGCCCGCCCCGCCCGCAGTACAAGCAGCAGCACACGCTGCTGCACAAGGTGAACGGGGCCCTGATGCTGCTCAGCTTCCTCTGCTGCCGGGTGCTGCTCTTCCCCTACCTGTACTGGGCCTACGGGCGGCACGCGGGCCTGCCCCTGCTCGCCGTGCCGCTCGCCATCCCGGCCCACGTCAACCTGGGCGCCGCGCTGCTCCTAGCCCCGCAGCTCTACTGGTTCTTCCTCATCTGCCGCGGGGCCTGCCGCCTCTTCCGGCCCCGGGGCTCCCGGCCGCCCTCCCCCTGTCAGACCCAGGACTGAGGGTGGGGCCGGGGGCCCTCCCCACCCGACCCCTACGCCGTGGGGACAGGGCTCTGGGGCTGCTGGGTGGGGGGAGGAGCCAGTGGCCTCTTGCCCTGACAGCCCCCGGGAACTGACAGATGGACTCCGAAGGGGTGGGGACATGTCCCCTCAGGGGCTGAGGGCTGGGACCAGGTGAGTTGGAAGGCAGGGAGAGGGGACCTCTCCCTACAGTGCCTGAACCGAGCGAGGGTCGACCCCCTCCTGCCTAGCCTCTGTCTCCATCACCTCCCCTGGGCCCTGGAGAAGCGAAGGAAGAGGAAGAAGACGCACCCCTTCCCAACCGCTTAGGGCTCAAGGCTGTGGGGAGCCTGAGGGGACCAGGACTCACAGAATTGTCGGGGAGGCCCTGCTGCCAAGGCCATGCCAGCCCCCCTGCTGCAAACTCCTCTCAACTCCCTGTCACCTGGGAGGGAGGGGACACCCTATCTAATGCCCGTGGGCTCGCTCAGGGCTGGCTGTCCCCACTGCTCCTCTCCAGGGGAGGCCAGCCTGAGGAATCTTATTTATTTTATTAATTCGTCCAAATGCAAACTCGTTTGTGGGTGTCGGGGGAGGGAGGTGGTTGCTACCCCCCAGCCTTCCCAGTGCTGAGCAACCCCGGGGGCAGGTGGGGGGCCGCCTGGTCCCTTCCCCATTAGGCTGCACATCTTGCCCTCGGGCCCTGGCATGTCCCTGGTGCTACAGACCTCTCAAGGCTTCCTCCAGTCTGGGGTCGGGGGACCCTGGGAGGTGCTTTACAGACCGCTAATAAAGACGATCTGCGTGAACGCCACCAAGGCCCTCGTCACCCAGTTCTTTGGGGCTGGGAAGGGAGCAGGCGCCTGGGGATAGAAAGCACGATGACTGGTTGACCGCAGGACAGGGCAGGACCCCCGGCCTGGGTCGCTGAGCAGTCAGGGAGAAAGAAGCAAGGACTTTTATTCATCAGCAGGAGAGGAGGGCGGGTATGGGTACTCAGGGCAGAGTCCAGGGCCCTCGTCCGTCCGGCTTTTTAGGCCCCTTTCTCACAGCTCCTATTGGGTGTGGAGATCAGAGGTGGGAGGTCACGCCACCACTGCCTCCCTGGGCTTTGCGTCCTTCAGCCTCTCCCAAGGAAGGTTGAGGTGGGTGGGGCTTGGGGAGGGGGACAGGCCTTACATGTGTGTGCAGAACTGGAAAAGCAGGAAGATGAAGGCCACCACCAGAGCGCCCACCAGGATGTGATGGAAGAGCATGGAGTCAGAACCTGCTAGACAGTGAGGTTGAGGCAGGGGCCCTGGACTCACCTCCAACCGAAGGGCCAAGGGCAGCTGTCCTCCAGGCCCCGTCAAGGAGGGCAGCCCCTTCTCAAGCTGGGTCATACCTGAGTTAACAAAGATGACAGGTCTCTCTCCAATGAACTGGGCCAGGGCCAGGAGGCTGGCTTGGTCCGAGTCTGGGTAATCAAAGAAGTCAGGTCTGTCTAGGAAGAGTGGAGACTCTGCTCCCCGGGCCAAGGCCTTGGCATTCTCCAGGATGGGTGCTGGGGACCCAGAGCAAAGTCTATGAAAGAGCCAAACAGACCCGTGCCCCCCACCCAAGAGGCTGAGGCAGACCCAGGGCCTGGCCAGGCCACAGAGCCCTAGTACAGCTGTGGAGGGCCTTGATTTTGTTCCAGGAACTTCTTGAGGGTCAGCTGAGCTCTCCATGAGAGGACCCACGCCAAACAGGGAGGATGGGAGAGAAGCATGGAGAGCAAAGAGAAAAGCCCAGGCTTGGCCTCCCAGCCTCTCAGGGGCAGGAACCCCACACCCCAGCCTTCCTCCTTCCCACTGTTCCCAGGACAGCTTCCCACCTGATTCTACGGTCCCCAGCCCAGCCAGCCACATCCACACCTGCGCCCACTGCCACAGCCTCATCACCCTTCCACTCCAGTGATGCGGTGAGGGCTCTGTGATGTCACCGCCCAGAGCCATTCTGATCACACACTCTAGGGTGAGGGGAGAGAGAAAGTGCTAGGATCTGGAATCCTTCCCCCCAAGCCTCCGAATCCAAAGGGAAGGGATTGGGACCCACAGAGCCTTTGGGCTGATGCTGATGATAGAACAATAACAGTGGAAGCCCCAGGATTTACAGATAGGGGGACTTGGTTGGGCAATCTTGCTGAAAGCCGGGACTAAGGAAAGCTGCATTCGTATAGCAGGCATAGTGGATTTGCGGGGGGAGGGGGGACAGGCCTAAACATCTCCACTTACCCCTTGGATTGACCACAGATAGCATTTATTGAGCACTTGCTACTATGCCAAGTACTTTAAATGGACTGACTCATTTAACCATCATAAAATCCTATGAGGTAGGTACTGCTGCCCTCATCTTATAGAAGAGGGAGACAAGGCATAGATGGGCAAAGTGATATGGGCAACACACACTTCCCAATGGCATGTATCCTCCTCCCTGAGCCTACCCCCTGCCTCGTGTCCTCAAATGCAGGGGCGCAGGGGTCTCCCCCATGCCCAAACTCTGTCTCGTAGTGCTCAGCTGAGGACAACCCTGGGGTTAGCAACCTAGACAAATAACAGGCATTTCCACTAGGTGGCAGCAGTGTCTATGCCTGCCTGCTTGTTTCCCTGTTCTTGCCCAAGGAAGGCACAGCTCCCAGGCTCCAGGCCCTCCCGCCTCATCCCATCAGGTTGTATCAGGTGCTGCAGGGAAAGGTATTGCAGGCATGGGGGTTGTCAGAGGAAGTCCCCCAGCCCATCTCGGGGCAGGTCTCTTGGTCATGCACAGAGCCTTCACAGGCTACCCCTCTCTGGGTGGGCTCCCCCAAGGGCCATCCCATTTACCCTTTCTAGTTTCTGCTTTTCCCTTATTTGTCACTTCCCAACAGCCACTTTCACTCCTCTTGCCCCCCCAACCAGTGGCTAAGAATTAGCTCCCTTCTGATTGGAAGGTGGGCCTGTCTGTCACACATGTGTCCCGCCCCACCCAAGCCCAAGGACACTTCAGGGTCTCCTTGGTTTTATTACACAGTTGCCTATTCAGCAGCCTCTGACAGTCCCAGTTCCATGACATGCCCCACACCAGGCATGTGTCTGTGGCGTGTATGAGGTCCTCTGTCCTACGGAAGGAGGCTCCTTCCTCCACTGGATTCGTACCCCTCATCTTTCCGATCCTCAGGGACTACCCAACCATTCTCCTCGCAGCAACCCTGGGAGATACTTGTCAGGGTCAGCTTCTACTTCCTAAACAAGGAAAAGGCGCAAAAAGAAAAAAAGGGGGGGAAAGAGGAGACAGACTAACATCTATGGGGCCTCCTGCAGGACTGGCTCCTGTGGGCCTCTTTTCCCTACACTTATCTCTTCTAAGAAAGAGGAAGTGATTTACCCAATGACGCAGGCATGTGAAGGGCAGCAGGGACTCAACCTGGTTCCTGGCTCTGGCGCAGGGCCCCCTCCCCAAGTCTGCATGCAGCTGCCCTTGGGGCCTTAGCTGGGAGATGGGGTCCTGGGAGAAGGGGTCCAGAGCCTTTAGCCTTTGGAGTAGATTTGGTAGTTTCCTCCGTTGCCTCAAAAGAACACTGCTGTCCTCTCTACCAGAAAAGGCCCTTTGCGACAGCCTGTTTCAGGCCATCCTGGATAACCCCGTGGTGCAGCTGGGCCTGACCAACCCTAAAATCTTACTGACATTTGAAGACATGCTCGAGAACCCGCTGAACAGCACCCAGTGGATGAACGATGCCGAGACGGGCCCAGTCATGCTGCAGATCTCCCGCATTTTCCAGACCCTGAACTGCACGTAGGCCACGTGCTCCAGCCGCGGGGTCCAGGAGGGCGGCCTCTTACTTCCCAGCCGAGGGCTGGGAAGAGTGGACAGACCCCGGGGTGCCCTGGGCTGGGGAGCGGAGAAGGGCGGGCCGGAGGGGGCCCCACCCTGGGTGTTGGGCGCCCAGGCCACACTCGTGCTTGGATCTTCCTGCTGAAAAACCTCTGTGGCGGCAGCGTGCTCAGCCGAGCCTCTAGCCTCTGACAGTGTTTACAGACAAGGTCGTCACCCCGGGAAGGGGTCACCTCCCTCCAGTGTCCCTCTGGGCTCTTGAAACGCTACTTGGATTGACCTGTAAGCGCTGCTTGTAGAGTCCATTTGTTATTTGAAAGATGGCATGTTTCAATCCAAAGTGTTAACGTCAAGGGTACTAACTTAAGTAGAACTCGCAGATGACTTTTCTTTAATAAATGAATTCCCCTTTTCCAAAAAAAAGAAAAGGCCCTTTGGACACAAGCAGTGAATTATCCATTCATTTATTCATCCAACCATTAAATAAATGTATTGAGCTCCTGTTATGTGCTGGGCTCCATTTACGGCTTAGATAGAAATCACCAGGGCACGGTCTCTGCCTGCGGGGACCACAGGGGAGAGAACTCAGGGATGCACATCGTTCAGAGTATAGACAGACAATCCCTAAGGGGCTGTCTACACTTGCTGTCATCGCTCCCTCACCTTTAGTGTATTCTTCAAACCCTTCAGACCTGGCTTTGTCCCTCCCACTGCACTGAAGCCACTTTGGCCAGGTCTGCCAATGACCCCATAACTTGCCACATCTAACGATCACTTCTGTCTTTTTACTTCTGTCATCTAATGGTTGGTTCTGTCTGTCAGCATCTTGCCTCCAGGCATGGGGGCCACACTCATCAGTTTTCTCAACTCCTCCTCCTCTGAGCTGCTCAGGCTTGGACCTTCTCTTTTCTATCTATACCCTCTCTCCCTAGGTGATCTCATCCAGTCGCATGGCTTTAAATACCATCTATACGCTGATGACTCACAAATGTATATTTCCAGCCCAGCCCTCTCCTCTCCTCCAGACTCCCCTACCCAACTTCCTGCATCATGGCTCTGTATGTCCAAAAACATCTCAAACTCAATAGATCCCAAATGGAGCTCTTGATTCTCCTATCTCAAACCTGTGCCTTTTTTCCATCGCAGCAAATGGGCTCACTATTCCTCTAGATGCCCTGCTCAACACAAAAACCTAGGAATCGTCTCAAACCCCTCCCTATTTCTCTCCTGACAAACCCATAATCAAGACCTGTTGGCTAGGACCTCCCTGGAGGTCCAGTGGTTAACACTCCCTGCCTCCATTGCAGGGGGCGCAGGTTCGATCCCTGGCCAGGGAACTAAGATCCCACATGGCATGTGCAGTCAAAAAAAAAAAAAAAAAAAAAGACCTGTTGGCTCATCTCCAACCTAAATCTCAAATCCATCCACTTCCCTTCCCCTCCAGTGCCGCCCTGCCCCCCTTCATTCAAGCCAGCCCTACGTCTCATCTGGCTTATTGCAACGACCTATGGACTGCTTGATCTCTATTCCCTCTTCCCCAAGCGAGAACAGACCAGAACACGTGGATCCACTACTTAAAACCCTCCAGTGGCTTCCCTTGCCTCCTGTGTTATTTTGAACTTCTTACCCTGATCTGCGACACTCTTGTCTACCTACCCACCTCGGGTTTTCCCGAGCTTCCCTTCCTCGGCACACCCCAGCCTTTGCACACACCTCTGCCTAGGACGCTCTTGCCCCAACTTGACCCAGTAATTCCTCCTCATCTTCCAGGTCACAGCTGAGACGACACTTCCCCTGGGAAGTGGACCTGAGTTTGCTGACCCTGCCCTGTCACCACATCAGTCTGACTGCGCTGGAGTTGTCTGTGTATTTGCCTGTAAAGCCAGAGATCATCGGCCTTGGTCGCAGCCCTAGCACCACAGTATAGAATAAGTATTCAATAAATACCTACTGGCTTAATGGATGGACGAAAAGCCTTTCCACCTCTGGACAAACCAGGGCTCAGAACTGTCTGTATTTTCCCCCGCGACTGGCTGGAACTCCAGCCTCATCCTTGCCTTCGTGCAACAAGGCTTTCTAGAGGTGAGCTGCTGGGCCTGAGCTAAACCCCAGAAGAAGAAAGCAGTGCAGGAAGCAGGGCTGGGCTTCTTGCCCAGCTCGCCCCTCCTTTTACTGCAGGCCCAGGTCTGCCTCTCCCCAAACCCACCCGCTCCTGGACGGTGTCTCCCTTAGTCCTGCCTCCTCCTTTCTTATCCTGGAGAACCTCAGAGGAAACCTAATGGTTGCCTTTATCTAAAAAAAGATATTATTTTAGTGTATTCTTTTGAGTAGGTAACATATGCACATGGTACAAAATAAATCCTCTTCCTGCCCTCCCCTGCCTCACAGCAGCCTCCTCAGAGGTCACCATAGTTACCACTTTCTTGTGCAGCCTTCCAGGAATAATTTATGCGCAAATAAACAAACATATATAAACGCTTTTTTTTTCTTTTCCTCAAATGGCAGCATTCCATTCATGCGCCTCCTTACCTTAGCTTTTTCAGTTACCATGAGATTGTGAAGATGATTCTGTACAAGCACATAAAGGGCCTCTTTCTTGTCATGGCTGCATGTTATTTCACTGTGTGAAATTCTCATAACTGATTGAACCAGTCGTGGACATTTAGGTTGTTTCCAGTCTTTTGCCATTGAAGACATGCTGCCGTTAATAGCCTTGAATGTCTATTATTTTGCTCATGGGCCAAATCCTAGAAGTGGATTTTTTGGATCAAAGAGTCTGACAGTGGCTATGTAACTGAAAGTGGGGTCTGGCTGCTTGCTGCGCAAAAGCCAATAAAGGAGCAAGGTTGGTGCAGAGGAACGTTTGCTTTATTTTGGGTGCTGGCAACCAGTGGGGAGGGTGGACTCCTGTCCAAAGGGCAACTCCCCCCCACTGACAATCAGTGGGCAAGAGCTTTTATAGATGGAGGGAGGGGGCTACATGCAGGAACAGCACAGTCAGCTCTGACAGTCATGTTGAAATTGGTCCTGCGGTGGTCTGATCAGTGTCATCTTGATTGTTTTAAGTACAGTTAGTCTTTAGTTCCAGGGTTGATTTGTTCCCATTTCTTGGAGGCCAGTTCTTGGAATTGTGGGAGCTTATGTCATGGCTACAGTCCGGTCATCATGTAGTTAACTTCTTCCACCTGGTGCGGGTTTCAGTATCTACAAGACAGCTCACGGGAGATGGCTCAGAATATTATCTATAGCCCTTGAGAAGGAACTAAGGGTCCTTAACTATGCTTAATGACTAAACTATTATTATTTAGTCTTGCTGGGCTGTTTTCCTTTGTTTCTGCATTTTCTCACTTCTCTGATCAAACGTATTCTTTTTTTAAAAAATTATTTATTTATTTAATTTTTAATGTATTTTTGGCTGTATTGGGTCTTTGTTGCTGCACCGTGGGCTTTTCTCTAGTTGTGGCTAGCGGGGGCTACTCTTCGTTGCGGAGCACGGGCTTCTCATTGCGGTGGCTTCTCATTGAGGAGCACGGGCTCTAGGCACGAGGACTTTAGTAGTTGCGGCACGCGGGCTCAGTAATTGTGGCTCGCGGGCTCTAGAGCGCAGGCTCAGTAGTTGCGGTGCACGGGCTTAGTTACTCCGCGGCATGTGGGATCTTCCCGGACCAGGGCTCGAACCTGTGTCCCCTGCATTGGCAGGTGGATTCTTAACCACTACGCCACCAGGAAAGCCCTAAACTTATTGTTTGGCTAAAGTTTTCCCACAGACAAAAGGCAGGCTGAGGACACGGAGGGGCAAAGACCTAGGGTCCTGCTCCGTTTCAGCTACAGAGGTGGTGCCCATTTACTCACAGCCTCACCAACACTGTGTGTTAACATTTGCTTTGAATTTCACCATTTGATGGGTGACAAGTGGTATCTCAGCATAGTTTGGTTTTACATTTCTATTACTTTAAAAAAATTGGGGTAAAAATACACATATGAATGAATAGTTGTATCTTAGCTGTTTTCAGGCACAAAGTTCAGCAATGTTAAGTATATTCACATTGCTATGCAACCTAAAATCACAATATTTAGTGATGCCAAACTAGTGCCAGGCCTAGCATGCGGCAGCCTCTGCTCCCCAGTAGTGGGGGAGACAGAAATGGAAACAGACATGACAAACCAGAGACAGCACTGGAAGCTGGGGGCTGGGCTGGGGGTGGGGAGATGTTCCAGTAAGTCTCTTAGGAAGAGGGGGTCCAGGATGACCCCTGAAGAAAGGAAAGATCTTCCAGGCTGAGGAACTTGTATGAGCAAAGGTCCACAGGTCTGAGAGATCCAGGTGTGTTCTGGGAACCGCAAGTAATGGTCCTGAGAGCCAGCAAGATGAGCACGGGGGATGAGATTAGAGAAGTCAGGGTCTTGGGCTGAAGGGCCTTGAATCAGGTCACTGTGAGGACTTTGTCATTGGGGGCTGGCAAGTTTTGGACAAAGGAGAGCCAAGATCAAAGGCTGGAGTTAGACTGACAGGCAGGTGACAGGGCTCAGGTGAGAGACAGCAGAGAGCGGAGGAAGGCCTGCAGGGCTCTGAGGCATTCAGAGCGAAACCCCACGCTCCGCTCCACCTGAGGGACAACTGGAGATGGGAGGGTGAGGGAAGGCGGATTCGCAAAGGAGATGCCATCCCTGAGAAGGGGACTTGGACCCTCGGGGGCTGGGTTGGGTCACAGGAGAGAATCCTGAACAACTAATGGAAGGAGGCGTGGGGGGAAGCCACAGCCTCAGGCCTCAGACTCTCAGGTTTCCCAGCCAGGGTCCGAGACCCCGAGATTTCAAACCTGGGACCGTAGGCGGATCAGACCCCCTTCCCCAGCCCGTTCCTGGGTCACTGCGGATCTCTAAGCCCCGCCCCCACAGGCCCCGCCCCTACGGATATTTGGTAGGGGAGGGCCAGACACCCTCCCCCCCTCCTCCAAACGCTCTCTGCGGAGGAGGGGCATAAGGACGCGCGAGGTAGGGGGCGGGGAGGGAGGAGGAGCCGGCGTCGCCATGGCAACCAGGCCGGTGGTCTGCCCTGGAGACCCAGGAGGGAAGCTAGGAGAGAGGGGCGGAGGGAGGCTCCGCCGGCTCGGCGCGGGGGCGGCGCGGGGAGGAGTTGGGGAACACCGGGCAGTTCTCACTGTGGGTTCCTGGCGGCGCAGGGAGCCCGTGTGTCTGCGAGCGTGTGTGTGCGAAGTTCTCCTGGGTGAGTGTGCCAGCGCGTGTCTGGGTTTGTGCATGACTGTGGTGTGCGCACGTGGGCACAGGCGTGTGCGCGGGAGTGTCCGTGCAAGATGCGTGTGTCAGCCTGCCCGTGAATGTGTGTGCACCCGTGTGCGCTCCTAAGTGTGCCCGGGCGGGCGCCGGCGGGAGAGTCCCGCCCCCTCCCCAGCCTCCGTCCGCCCCTCCCCGCCCCGCGCCGCCTGCGCCGGCTGCATCCTCGCCTCCACCTCGCTCACCCCCTCCTCCCCGCACTTTCTCCTGCTCTCCCTCCCTCTCGGCTCAGACTGCCGGACTCGGCGCTCTTCTCGCCGGCCGCCTTGGGAATCGCCGGCTGCCACCGCCCAGCTCGCACCCGCTGGCCCCCCAGTGCTTGGGCACCTGTTGGAGGCGCAGAGACAGGTGCAGGGGGCTGGGCTGCCGGGGGCGAGAGGGTGAGGGTGAGTGTGTGTTAGCCTGTGTGTGCCCCTGGGGGTGTTTAGCTCTCCGGAGGCTGTAATTTCTGGCTCCTCTGGAGAGCCAGTTTCAGGAGGAAGCATCTGAGGCAGGGGTCCTCACCTTGGATGGCAGCGGATGGGGGCCCAGGCAGGCGGGCAGATCCTGGGGCTGAACGAAGGGACAGTGGGAAGTGAAAACCTAAGAGGTGGGTGACCCCCAGACCAGACAGGCGCCTGCTGCAGAAGGATAGTCAGAGCCTCAGAAAGACAGAGGAGGGGGCCTAGGGGGGCAGCTTCAGGGGTAGAGGACCCAGGGCAGACAGAAGCCCAGAATGAGGGGCTGGCGCTGGGAAGAGGACAGAGGGACAATCTAGAGGAAAGTGGGCAAGGCTGAGGTGGAGCCAGGACCTATCTGGGGGGAGTGGGCTGGCAGCCCAGCCCCATGGAGCACAGCTTGGGGTCTGGAGGGCCCAGGCCTTCTGCCTGCCCGTCAGCGGGCACAGGCTGCCCTCTCCCTCAGCACCTAGGAAGGGAGGCCAGTGAGGGCCCACAGACCCTGGCGGGTGCCGCCTGGCCCTCAGCCAGCAGACGGGTAGGTTTGAGAAGTCAGCCCCGGGCTCAAGCTCTCTCGAACCTCCCTCCCCCAGCCAGGGGTGCTGCATGAGGGGCCGCAGGGGCGACCGCATGACCATCAACATCCAGGAGCACATGGCCATCAACGTGTGCCCGGGGCCCATCCGGCCCATCCGCCAGATCTCTGACTACTTCCCCCGCCGGGGACCAGGACCTGAAGGGGGTGGCGGGGGCTTCGGAGAGGCCCCTGCTCATCTGGGCCCCCTGGCCCTGGCACCCCCTGCAGCCCTCCTTGGGGCCACCACGCCCGAGGATGGAGCTGAGGTGGACAGCTATGACTCGGATGATACCAGTGAGTCTGCGGGCTTGAAGGGCCCAGGGTGCTAATGGGGGCCTCCAGGCTTGTGGGAAGGGGATGGGGCCCTGCTGGGGGTGGGGAGGCGGCGGGCACCGCCACCACAGCTGCAGTCAGTGGAGATTACAGGTTCAGCTAGGCTCAATATTCAATATTTCTGCTGAGACACTCAGCCACCCACAGAGCACCAGTTGCAGCCCAGCCAGGGACCCAGACGTGCACACACAAGCAGGCTGACAGGCACAGACACGCACAAACCTTCACAGCTGGCACACGTAGCAGGCCTGCCCACCTGTCTCTCACACACACCTGTCTTTACACACGGACTCAGGTTACCTCTTCCCTCTTCTCCAGCCGCCCTGGGCACGCTGGAGTTTGACCTTCTCTACGACCAGGCTTCCTGCACTCTGCACTGTAGTATCCTCAGGGCCAAGGTGGGTACTCCCTGCCCCCCGAGAGCCCTGGCCCTGTTTGCCTCCTACCCTGAGAGGGGTGCGTTTCCATTCTCCTTTCCCTTCCCCAGGCCTGACTCCTGCTCCTCTCCCAGCACCCATCTTGGCTCTCCCGCCCCCAAGGGTCCACACTACAGAGAGAGGGAGGGAGGGTGGGCAGGCTGGGACCTCACAGCCCTCTTCCCTCCCCTCCTCCCCAGGGCCTCAAGCCCATGGATTTCAATGGCCTGGCCGACCCCTACGTCAAACTGCACCTGCTGCCTGGAGCCTGCAAGGTAACGGCCTCCCCCTACCCTCGCCCCCCAGCCTGACCCAGCTTGTGGGTGTGCCCCCAACCTTCGTCTGCCTCCAGCCTCTGTGGGTCTGGGGGACATGTACTGTGAACCCTTCGTCCCCACACCTAAGGCCAATAAGCTAAAAACTAAGACTCAGAGGAACACGCTGAATCCCGTGTGGAATGAGGACCTGACGTACAGCGGAATCACAGATGATGACATCACCCACAAGGTGCTCAGGTGAGGGGTCTGTCCTCCCGGTTACCAACGAGTCCAGCTCAGCACCTCCTTGGGGACAACTGTCATTGGAACCTTCTTTGGTTGGTCGACCCACCTCCCATTAAGCCCTCGGATGCTCTAGATCCATCAGTGGCTCCCTGTCCCCTTCGGGAGCAGGCCAGAATGTTCCCCTGGGTTCCTGCCCTCCAAATAGCTCCTACTGCTCCTCCAACAGAGGACCGCCCTCTTGCGACTGGTCGGGTTCCTATCTCCTGACCTTTGCCTGTCGTGTCTCTTCCTGCTTCCTCTCTCTGCCGGCCTAAATCCCACTCATCATTTGAGGCTCTGCCTCCTCCTGCAATCTTTCCCTGCTCACTGAGACCCCTTCTCAGAGCCCCTGACTTAAGTCAGACCTATGCAGCAGAGGTCTGCCCATTCTGCAGCCCTTGTCTCCCTAACATCTCTAAGGAGTGAAGTCTCAAGCGACAGAAACGGGAATGAGGCTTAGGGAGGTTAAGTGACTTGCTCAAGGTCATGTGGTTGCTAGGTGGCAGAGCTGGGAATTGAACACCTCTGCATGACACAGCTGCTCGAGAGTGTCACAGCAGAAGGCAGGGAAAGGGGCTGCAGACCGAGACGGATGGAAGTAAAAGCAATAATCTCTTACTTGCTGGGTTCATGAGTCTCTCCCAGGCTGGCTCCCTGCTCCACACAGGAAAGGACAGGGGCTCTAGGGGGAGGTATGCGCTCCTGGTCCAACTGCTCAAGGCTCCTTCAGGCCCTTCTAGCTCTTACATCCTGGACCCGTGACCCACATCCACCAGTGCACACCCTGTGCATGTTCAGTTGGATCCTGTCCCCAGGCCCTGAATGGAGGCTGTGTGTGTGTGTGTGTGTGTGTGTGTGTGGTCGCGTTCCCAAGGTTTGTGAGGGCTTCCTCAAGGAGCCGAGCAGGTCCTGATGGGCCGGGGACAGCCTGGGCAGCTGGAAAGGGAGGCGCAGAGGAACAGGGCAAATCAAAACATCCTCCCCCAGCTCCAGGCCTGGTGCTCCCCACACAGCCCTGAGACAGCCCATTTTACAAGTGAGGTGTAGAGTATTTAGGGCAGAGCTGGGACCAGCCTCGAGTGTTCAGAGTTCAGTCGGAGGACCTTTCTCCCAAACTGGAGTGGGGCTCAAGTACCCCAGGGGGCCTTGACCCTGCAGTTCCCTACCAGGATCTCCGTCTGTGATGAAGACAAGCTGAGCCACAACGAGTTCATCGGGGAGATCCGTGTACCCCTCCGCCGCCTCAAGCCTTCACAGAAGAAGCATTTTAACATCTGCCTTGAGCGCCAGGTCCCGGTCTGTGCCAGGCTGCGGGGTACCACGGGAAGGGGGCCCTGGGGAGATCAGGTTTCCAGAACTTTCTCTTTGCCCCCTCAGCTGGCTTCACCCTCTTCCATGTCTGTGGCGCTGAGGGGCATCTCCTGTTACCTGAAGGAGGTGAGCCACCCACAGGGACCGCATCTGGGCGGGAGGTGGTGAGGGTGCCGGCTGACGCCCGCGTCTGCTGGCAGCTGGAGCAGGTGGAGCAGGGGCCTGGGCTGCTGGAAGAGCGCGGGCGCATCCTGCTGAGCCTCAGCTATAGTTCTCGGCGCCGCGGGCTGCTGGTGGGCATCGTGCGCTGCGCCCACCTGGCTGCCATGGACGTCAACGGCTACTCTGACCCCTACGTCAAGACGTGAGCCCTCGCCCTGCCCCGAGGCCCACCCTCCCCTCCCCAGGGACTTGCCACCAGCCCCGTCCTCTTCTGGGCCTGGCCTGTCCCTGACTGACCTGCTGCCCCACCCGTCCCTCCTCCCCCTCGGCAGGTACCTGAGGCCAGACGTGGATAAGAAATCCAAGCACAAAACACGTGTGAAGAAGAAGACTCTAAACCCGGAATTTAATGAGGTAAATGGGGCAGAGGCCAGAAATCGAGCGGGGCTGGGGCTGGGAGTGGGGGCAGAGCCTCATGGAAGGTGTCGCTTGCCCTGTCCCAGGAGTTCTTCTACGAGATGGAGCTCTCCACTCTGGCCAGCAAGACTCTGGAAGTCACAGTCTGGGACTATGACATTGGCAAATCCAACGACTTCATCGGTGAGGGAGGAGCCTGCTGGGTGGTGCTGATGGAGGGCAGCCCGGCAGTGAGCCCGGCCCTGATCTTGCCTGCCTCTACTGCTCCCAGGTGGCGTGGCCCTGGGGCCAGGCGCCCGGAGAGAGGCCCGGAAGCACTGGAGCGACTGTCTGCAGCAGCCAGACGCAGCTCTGGAGCGCTGGCACACCTTGACCAGCCAGTTGCCCCCGGCAGCCGGAGCCCTGCCCTCAGCCTGAGCAGGACAGCGGCCGCCCAGCACAGGGCCCTCAGGGCTGGGCCCAGTAGGCAGCCTTCGCACGAGTGTGTTGCACGTTTACACGGGGTGGAGGCCCCACCCCGCACTACTTGTCTTGTTTCGTGTCTCCGTGACCGTGGGTCTGTCTTCTTGTGAGGGACTGTGGAGATGTATATTCAAATATGCAAACTTCCTCCTGCCTGACTCGCTACAACAGACAAATATGCAAACCACCCATCCAGAGCACACCTGCAGGGGGGATCCCACAGTGCCCCTGCCCCAAGGACCCGGCTGCTGCTCCTCTCTCCTGCCTCTCCAGGCTGCCCGGCCCCCTCCCCTCCAGGGAGGAGGTCGGATTAGGGGGGGTTTGGAGGAGGAGGTTTCCAAAAATGAAAATGACACACACAAAAAGAGGCACTCCTTTAATGCAGAATCTTCATTAAAAAAACCACCACCACCGAGCCCTGTACAGCTGCCCTTTTAAGTGGGGGGCCACCGCAGGGTCTCTGCCTCTCTGAGAGGTGGCAGATGCTCCTGGCCCACTCATTTAAATAACTGTCCCCTGGATTGGGCTGGGATGTGAAGGCAGGGCCCTTGCCCTCCCTGGAGAGGGCCCACCTTCTGGGGGACATTCATGCATGTTTACGCCTTTTCTGATTGTGTCAGTGGCCACAGCATGGCAACCGGGCGTCAATAAACGTCTCTGCGGAAGCTGGGGGCTCATGTGTGCTGACACAGAGGGCGCTGGGCAGGGGGTCAGGCAGAGGGGTTCACTCCGGGATGTCGATCACCAGGTCATCATCCCCGTCCAGGGCGTCGTCCCCGCTGCCTGCATCGCTGAACATCTGCCGAGGAACGGCGCTCAGGATCGTAGGGGGAGGCATCTTGGGTGGGGGCAGTGGGGTCAGGGCTGCCCCCACGCCGGCCCCAGAACCCCGGCCTGGGAAGGTCAGCGGCCCTCCCACGGGGCAGTCGGGGGGTCCTACCGCCATCTGCAGCAGCGGGGAGAAACACAGGGAGGGCCTGTCAGGGAGGCACTGGGACCTCCAGGAGGCTGGCACTGCCCCTTAAGACAGTTCCAGGGGATGGGCAAGGGGGCAAAGGCTCATTCAAGGGGTAGTGGACACAGCCAGGCCAGCCACGGCTGGAATCAGGGAGCCTGCCCCACCTCAGCCCTGCAGAGTCTCACACCAGCAAGTGCGTGGGGGTGAGGGTTGGTGATGGAAGTGCTGATGAGGGTGGCGGTGGAGAGAGTCTCATGGGAAACCAGGAGGGAAAGGCCGGGCCCTGCCCTTGCCAGTCAGGCACTGTGGCTGCCCCTGGGATAGCAGCCAGAGCCAGAGCCAGCCTGGAGTGCCTGCCTGCCCGCCTCTGGGCACCTCCAGTACCACCTGCCACACTGGCCTCCTCTCCCTCCTCCTCCTGCAGGGCTCACTGGTTTGGTGGAGGGTGTCAAAGGTCTTCACCCCCGGCCGTGCGAGGCTTCTACCTCTTGTGTCTGGGAGGGGCCCCTCTTTGGGATCCCCAGAGCCACCGGCCTAGGCCAGGCCCTCCTCTCAGCTCACCTGGACTCCCTGCCTTCAGCCTCTCCCAGATCCAGCTCCTCCTCCGCACTGCAGCCAGAGTAAGCTCTCTAGAACACAGACCTGAGCGCGTCACTCCTGTACTCGGGGGCCTCCGGCTCCTCGCTGCCCTCAGGACAGGCAGTGCCTGAGAACAGGCCAGTCCTTCCACCTGGACTGTCCTTTTCTATTTGTCAAAGGTCCTGCTTTGTGCTCTGAGGCTGGGAAGTGGCCTCTGTCCTGCCCAACCCTCCAGTCCCACCCCTGCCAGGTCCTTCTGAATCCTTCCCAGAGATCTGTGGGCCTCCTGCTTTGCCTGTAGGCACAAACTGAGCACCTAGTATGTGCCAGGTGACTTCCATTAATGATCTCTCACCATTCCGACCACCCTGGAAGGGAGGAGAGGTCATCAGCCAGAGGAGGAAACGGAAGCTTGGAAATGGAGGTTTGAAGGCACAGGCCTGCCAGGTCCCCACCAGGCAGTGTCCAGTCTGGCCCCGGGTGCGGGGATGGCAGTAGTCTTCACAGTGGCCCTTCTGATTGCCTTAACACATTCGGGCCCCTGTGGCCTACTCTCTGCTTCTCAAGGTGGCCCCCTCACCGCCGCTGTTCCTAGGGTGGCATGGAGGGCCAGAGTGGGTTTGTGCCTCGGGCGACTGGGGTCTGCCAGGATGGATGACAGGAAGCCCAGCTCTGAACAGCACCCTTGCACCCAGTACCAGGCACTCATGTGCACACATGGGAGCAGATGCACACGCACGACTGAAAAGGCCGGTGGCATGACTGTCCCCCTCCTCTGGCCACCACCTCTTGATTACCTACCCGAGGCCCCATGTACTACCCCTGCTTGGACTGACTTCATCGCCTCCTCAGCGTGACCCACGGTAGTGAATGCTTATCTGTGGCGTACTAGGGACAAGGCACCAGGCTAAGTGTTTTCTCTCTCTTAACTCATTTTATCCTCACAACGACCCCACCGAACAGAGGAGCAAGCGGAGGCTCTGAGAGTTAAATGACGCGCCCAAGTCGCACGGCGAGTGCGTGGAGGAAACCCAGCTAAAACGGGTGAGGCCCAGGCTCCTGACTGACCTGCTTCAGTCTTCACAGCGTCCCCTCCCCTCTCCTCACACCACCACACCCAGAAACTTCAGGGACCCCCACTCTCCTCATAGGACACCCAGCCTTCTATGACCTGACCCACCCTATCCTTCCTACGCTGTTCGCTCTCACCCCTCCGGCTCCAGCCCAAACACCGCTTTTGCCGCGTCCCCCCCTTCCTTCCACAACCACCTCAGCCTGAATATCCAAATCTCACCCTGGGCTCAAGTGTCACCTGTTCTTTGAGGCCGTCCCTGATTTATCCCCTCCCCCATGCACCGCCATTGGTTTGGGCCCTTTTCCCCTGCCTGCCCCGAACATAGCTCACTGACACGCCTCTGGGTCAGGAGCCAGCACTTCAGAGTCCTGAACTGCCAAGCGCACCCCCACGCCACGCCTCCACGCTCTGCTCCAGGTTTCTCTGGCCCGTGCCTTCTCCACCAGTCCGCCCAGCCCAGGAAGCAGAACCCCTGCCAAGTAGCGTGAAGCAGGAGCTGAGCAGTATCGTCACCCATTAGCTACTCATCTTCCAGGCTCAAGGGCCACGGTCACGCGGGAGGAAGTGGCAGAGCTGGGGTTAGAACTCCAGAACCCACACTCCTAACCACAAGCAGGGCTCCCGTTCCACCTCTGGCTCCAGAGTCTCGAGTCTACAGTCCACCCAACTTGAGAGCTGCCAGCCCGGTCCTTATTTCACTTTGACTCAGAGCTGGAAGGGCACTGTGCCTTCCGTGTCCTCATCTCTCCCAGGGCTCAGGGTGCAGAGACCTCTTCTCCTCGCCATCCACCTCCCTGCCCGTGACTTCCAAATACGGCCCCCGTGCGGCCCAGGCTCACGTCACCCAGTTGTCTCGTTGACATTTCCAGACAGCATCTCAAGACATCCAAAGCCAAACTCACCTTCCTTCCCAAACCTGCTCCTCCCACAGTCCTCCCCGACTCAGAAAAGGGCCACTTCTTTGGCTGCTCAGGCCAAAACCCCTGGAGTCACCCTCAACGCCCCTCTCTCTCACAGACCACATGGCTCTTCCTGGGGCTCATTCTTTGAAAGAGACCCATCACCCACTTTTCACTCTTCCCCCTGCTGCCTGGTTGACCGCAGGAGCCTCCTCACTGGTATCCCCACTTCCATCCTGACCCCCCACCCACCAGCCTATTCACTGCAGTGTCAAGCAATTTTCTTAACATGTCAATCAGATCAGACGCCCCTCAGCCCCACCTTCTCCAGTGGCTCCCGTTTCACTCACAGTACCAGCCAAAAACTTCCCAATACCTCCAAGGCCCTCCACAGCCTTGCCCCTCAGGTGCTGTTCTGACCTGCTCTCTGGTCACTCTCCCTCTCACTCTCCTCCGACCACACTGGCCTCCTTCCTAGTCCTTGAAGAAGCCGAACACGTACCCACCCCCAGGGCCCCTGTGCTGGTTCTTCCTGAATGAAACACTTTGCAGAGAGCCAGAGGGCTTTGCTCATTTAAGTCTCTGACCACCCCACTGTAAACATCAGCCCCATGTACTCTGGTGTTTCCCACGCTCTTTACCTGAATCTATTTTTCTACATTGTTACCTATTTATCTTGCTTGTTTCCTGCCTACCCTTCGAGAACATGGGCTCCATGAAAGCAGGGATTTCTGCTTTGTTCGCTATTGTATCTGCAGCACCTAGCACAGTGCCTGGTACACAGTAGACGCTCCGCAACACTGGCTGATTACACGTGGTTTGATCACTCACTTTACAGACACACAATCTGAGACCTAGAGGGTCACGGTCACATGGTTTCTAAGTGGTGCAACCTTGACTTGATTCTAGATCCCACAACTCTGCCCCTCCTTGGGGGCTGCCTGGCAATACAGAACACTTGTGAAAATGAGCCTGGCCCCCAGCCACCTTCACTCTGAGCTCCCCGAGTCTGGGCTTGCCCTGACTGGTCTCACAGGGAGCCTGGGAGCCAGGACTTCTGGGACCCGCCCCTCAGTGCCTAACCCTGGGCTGGGTCCCCAGCAGCAGCCCCAAATCAGCCCTTCAACGTTCTCGGACAGGCCCCCAGCCGTCCTGAGCCTCCCTCAGGTGGCTGTCCTGCCGTTCTGGCCCCTCCCTAACGTCCCCCAAACAGGGTACCTTGAGTTTCCGGGGCAGGCGGGGCCGTTTCTCCCGCTTGGGCCTCAGGGGGCTGGGCTCGGGCAGCTGCAGGGCCAGGTAGTCAGAAGGGAATGGGGGGTAGGTGGGGGAAGCCAGCTGCAGGCGGGAGTGAGGGGATGGAGATGGGAAATGGAGTGGATGGGGTGGGGGTAGAAGGAAGAAATGCAAACAGGAGGAAGAATGGAAAAACAAGAGATGGTGATGAGTGTGGCTCCTGAGAACAGACGGGAGGGGACAGCAGCAGGACTGTGTCCTGGGGTCTCCTCTCCTCAGTCACGTCTGTCCCCCATTCCTACACCAGAGAGAAGTAGGCAGCCCCGACTCACACCCCTCCGAGGCACGCTTGCTGGCCACACCCAGACAGATGTTCTTGGTGCTGGGCTGGCTTCACCCTGAGGCCTGGACCCTCTGCCCAAATGATGCCCACCTTATTCCCAGGCATCTGACCATTTCCCACCCTTGACCCCAACTCACCGAGCTCAGGTATGGGGAGGGGGCCCCAGAGGCCTGAAGGGGAAACCCTGTTGAAGGAGGCAGGGAGAGGCTGGTGGGGGAGGGGGCACCCCCCAGCGGAGGGCTTCTCTTCCTGGAGAAAGGACAGGGGAGGGGGTCAGAGGCAAGAGGCAGCCCAGGTACCCTCTCCAACCCCCACCCCCCACCCTCCAGGGAAGAATGATGGCTTCTTCTCACCTCTTAGGGGCTGGCGTGTCCGACAACTTGGATGTCCCCTCTGTCTCGCTGTTATCTGAAGATGCAGTGGCATCTGAGTCTGTGAGGGGGAGGGCTGGTAAGTAGTGGGTGGGAGTCCCTGTCTACCCCGGAGGGGCGTAATCTCAACTCTACGGAAGGGTTCTGGGGAATCTGAAGGGCACACAGGTGTATTCTGGGGAGGCCCACAGCTTCCTTAAAATGTCCTTTACGACCTAATTCCTGCCTGGACTCCTCCCTGGTAACATACTGTCAAGCATTTTCTACGTGACAGGCTCTGAACAGGTGCTTGACATTCACTGCCTCTCCTTGTCTTCAGAACTATCCAAGGAGGAAAGGGAAGACGTCACCTCCGCTTTTCAGATGCAGTCACAGAGGCTCAGAAAGGAAGGTGTTGGACTGGGACTTGAGCCCAGGCCTCTGACTCCTGACCATTTTATGCTATTCTCTCCTTATTTGCCTAAGCTGTCCAGAGCTTACCTCTGCCCCACTCCACATATGCAGGGTCCTGGTAATTTGCCCCTCAAATCTCTCCTACCTTCACTCACTGCTCCCCATTCCAACTGTCACGAGGTCAGGTCAGCACCATGTCAAAATCACCTGCTAAGCAATCTCACCTCTCCTGCCACCCACTGTCCTCCCCAAGGACAGAACAACATAAAAGGCAAAACTGATCACATCCTTCCCAATGCCTGGAAGCATTTGAAGTGCTTCTTAATATAGCCCCAACCCACCCTTCTGGTCTCCCAACCAAACTGTATTCTTCACATCACACCAACCTATTTTCTCAAAACCAAAATTCATTTCCCAGATTTGTGCCTCTACCTAGAAGGCCCATCATTCACTTAACAGATAACCATTTACACGTAAAATACGTTATTCCCGATTTCTCTGCTCAGATAGATCCTTTAAGAAGCAGATTAGGGCTTCCCTGGTGGCACAGTGGTTGGGAGTCCGCCTGCCGCTGCAGGGGATGCAGGTTCGTGCCCCGGTCCGGGAAGATCCCACATGCCGCGGAGCGGCTGAGCCCGCGCGTCCAGAGCCTGTGCTCTGCAACAGGAGAGGCCACAGCGGTGAGAGGCCCGCGTACCGCAAAAAAAAAAAAAAAAAAAAAAAAAAGAGAAGTAGATTAAATGCCACCTCTCTGAAAAGTCTCCCAGAATCCCTCAGGCCCAGTTGATGGCTGACTCTTCCAGAACCCTTTACTCTCACTGGTCACGGCTCTCCTCACTCTGCTAGGACATTGTCATATATGGGTGTCTCCCTGACCACACTGTGGGCTTCTCCAGGAGATAAGTGGTGGCTTATGTCTCTGGCTCTTGTTTCTCAGCTATATCCCACTCTGATCATAAACAGGCTGGGTTCCCTCACGCCTCCTATCCTGAAGTCCCCCTCCAAAAGCAAGTTAACTGAAAGACCTCCAGGAAGGAACACGAAGGCAATGAGAAGCTAGAATGAAAGCCAAATATTTTGCCATGATCTACATGAGTTGGCTCCGACCTACTTCTTTGACCTCATCCACTGCCTTCCTATAATATGTAAATGAATAGGTGTTCAATGTTCTAATAAAACATTATTTACAAAAACAAACAATCTAGGGACTTTTCTGGTGGGGCAGTGGTTAAGAATCCGCTGGCCAATGCAGCGGGCATGGGTTCGATCCCAGGTCCAGGAAGAACCCACATGCCGTGGAGCATTTAAGCCCGTGTGCCACAACTACTGAGCCTGCGCTCTAGAGCCCGTGAACCGCAACTACTGAAGCCCGCGCGCCTAGAGCCCGTGCTCCGCAACAAGAGAAGCCACTGCAATAAGCCCGCGCACCACAACGAAGAGTAGCCCCCACTCGCCGCAACTAGAGAAAACCCGCGCGCAGCAACGAACACCCAACGCAGCCAAAAATAAATAAGTAAATAAAACAAAAACAAGCAATCTGGCTAGCTTTTTGCTGACCCTTGCTCTAGACACCATGGAGAGAGGTGATTGCATGTGACATGGCTTATGAGAAAAACTGGGCCACAATGGCCCACCTTAGGACTTTTTCAAATTGTGGGTATCAACCCAATAGTGGGTCACAAATTCAACTTATTGATTTACAAGGAGCACTAAATGGAAAAAAAAAAATCAGTCTAAAAAGTATCAGAACAAACTGCATATAGGGCTCTTAACATTATTTCACTAAATTTTGTTTTATAAGCAAGTAAGTACGTGGGGGTTGGTCACGATGTAAAATCTATTATTGGTTGTAAACGGTGCTCAAAAAAAGTTTGAGAACAGTGCTTTATGTGCTTCATCCCTTCTCCTCAAAAAACCTGGTACGTTTTTACCTCAGGGAATCTGCATCTGTGACTCCCTCTGTGGGAAATCTCTCACTCATCTTCACATCTTCTTCTTATCTAGGTCCCAGCTCCAACATTACTTCCTGAAAAAAGCCTTTCTTGAATTCTTTATTAAGATGTTGCCTGCCATCTACTTTTGTATGGTCTGTAACTAAGAACGGCTTTTACATTTTTAAATCGTTGGGGGAAAAGAAACTCCGAAGAAAAATATTTCATGACGTGAAAGTTTTATGATATTCAAATTTCAGTATTCATAAATAAAGTTTTATTGAAACACAGCCATACTCACTTATTTACAACTCACCTATTGCTGTTTCTGCACTACAAAGGCAGAGCTGTATAGGCGCAACAGAAATTGTACGTTCTGCAAAGCCTAAAATACTTATTACTTGGCCCTTTACAGAGAAAGTTTATCAACCCCCGTTCTACTCCAATCCCTACCACGTAACCCTGATTTTCTTCTTCAAATCTAAAATTCTAGTTTATTTCTTTGCTTACTTACTACCCCCAACGAGAATACAAATTCCAAGAGGCTTTATCCATCTTGGTTACCACTGTATCCTCTGTGCAAAGCCCACTGCCTGAAATACAGCAGATACTCAGTCATACTTGAGTGAAAGAATAGTGAGGAGGACGACAAGCGACTAGGCTTAAGAACCATTGGAGGCTGTATTGGCCTCCGTGGCCTAAAGGGAGGGCCCAGGAAGCTTGCTGGAGTGCCAGGAGCATGTCCTCCACCAATTTTTCGCGACCTTGCTCACCAGAGGAGTCTTCATCCACGTTCTCGTACTGCAAAAGTCGGTCTAGGAGGAAACTGAGGGAGGGGGCGGAGAGAACAAGAGTGTTTACTCCCATCTCTGCAATGTTCTCCTGGGCCCTCGTCCCTTCCAGCTGGCCTGTTGGAGCCTCACAACAGCCCCGAGGCAGTTATCATGCATTTGTGGCCCATTCCAGGATGGGGTCCGAATGCAGGTCCACAGGAGCCACATCACCCGCTGGCCTCCCTCCTCCCCTCAACGTGTCTCACCTCTTGTCCCGGGACACCTTCAGCAATTTCCTCTGCGCCTTCCTCAGTTCCTCCTGGAAGCACTCGTGTTCCTGTATTACCGGCAAGGTGGGAGCTGAGCCAACGGCCGTCCGTAAATGGAGCCCGGACGCCGGCCACAGCTCACCCTACTCTCTTCACACACAGGTAAACTGAAGTCTTACGAGCGCCAGGCCTCACCCCCCACCGCCTCACCACCCCAGCACTCACGTAGATGAGGAATTTGAGCTTCCGCTTCAGGTTCCGGTATTTCTTCTTGTAGTCCACGTCGCCGTCCGCCGGCCCGTTCATGACCCGCCCCGGGAGAAGCGCCCCAGCACTGGCCGGGCTACCCCGAGCCGGCTCAGCCCGGCCTCTCCCACCTCCACTTCCGGAGAGTCGGCTGGGCTGTATCCGCTGGGACTACAACTCCCGCCGTGCCCCGCGCCTAGGAATCGTAACCACACCGGCTGCCCTCCCGGGGAATACCGGGAAAGGAACGTTGCTTCCAGGGGATACGCTAAAAATGGCGCCGCGGCGACGCGATGATGTCACAAAGATGGCGGACGCTGGAGGGCACCCTTACTGATTCGAAATGTGCTTAGCGATTTGAAGCCACGAGAACGCATTCCTCCTCGGATTCCTAGTCTCCTGGCGAGGACGCCCTTTTCCTTCTGTCTTTCAAAATCACAGATGCCTAGTTGCTGCCCGTGACCACGAACAGAGGCAGCGTCCCGGGTTGATTGTTACATCCAAAGGTGTAGCCGGCTCCCAATCGGTTTCTAACGAGAATTCTCCTTCAGAAGAGATTCGTTCTAAGAAAAGGAAGGAACCGCGAGACTCTCCAACTGCCCGCGGAAGGCAAGTTTTGTCTCGCAAAGTTTTGGGTCCAAGCGGCCCGTGACGGATACTCAACGGTCTTCCACCTCACGGCGCCACGATACTGCGCGTGCGCAAGCTCCTGTCAAACGTTTTTCTTCCGAGAAGAAAAACGGCGGGAGCCGCCGGTATCAGGTGGAGCAAAATGGCTCGGGAGAATGAGATGCAGGAGTTCACCCGTAGGTTCTTCCAAGGCCGCCCGGACCTCAGGTGCACCGGAGGTTGGAGGCGGGGTTGTAAAGGGTAGGGGCGGGACAGGGACTCCGTCGTGACACGTGTTTCCGCAGCACGCTTACGCACTCCATCGTGCGGCGGAGGTTCTTGGCTCACGCGGGCCGCGACCACCTGGAGCCCGAGGAGAAGCAGACGCTGAAGCGGCTAGTGGAGGAGGAGCTGCTGAAGATGCAGGTGTGGGCCCGAGCCTGGGCCACCGCAGGCGGGGGTTGTGGCCGTGGAGGAGGGGCCTGAGAGCGGTGGGGCAGAACACAACCTTGATACACGTGATGCTCTCTTGATGCACACACAGGTGGATGAAGCGGGTGGCAGGGAAAAGAGGCTCGACGTTGCCAAGAAGGCCAAGAGGTCTCCCATCCCCTGCCGTGACCCAGCGAGAAAAAGGTTCCGTTTCAATTCGGAGTCAGGTTAGTGCCTTGTGCATAGTTGGTTCATGTTAAAGGTATTTATTGTGCGTGTGTTACGTTCCAAGGCCTTAGGTGAGGGCGCGTGGCCCGTGAGTCAGGAGCCAGGAACAGGGTGGACTGAGAGCTGTTTCGTACTGCCCTTCCCTCCATCAGAGCAGGATTCAAGGCAACCAATCCCAAGTGGAGGGAGAAGGGACAGAAGGAACCTGTCCCAACCTCCTCTTCTCTCCACATTCCAGAGCCCAGCTCTGCAGCCTCCAGTCCAGACTGTTTCGGCCTCCCAGCAAAGAATGGGATGGCAGCAGAAGTCAGTCCAGCCGAGGATGAGAATCCAAAGCGAGCCTCAAAGAAAGCAATTGAGGAGAGCAGTGACGAGGAAGAACAGCAGAGGGACCTGACTGCAAAAATGGGATTAGAGAAGGAGGAGGTGAAGGGGAGCAGTGAGGAGGAGGAAGAGGGCTCTGCCAGAAAGAGTAAGGTCTGGAAAGAAGAAAGCAGTGAGGAAGAGGAAGATGAGAAAAAGGAAGAGAAGGAGGAGGAGGAAAAGGAGTCCAAGGACAGGACTAGGAAGAAGCCTGGGACAAAGAACAAGCAGGCACCAGGCAAGGCCTCAGCCAGTAGGAAACAGGCCAGGGAGGAGAGTGAAGACAGTGAGGAACGTGCCCAGGGGCCAGGAAAGAAGGCAAAGGGAAAGAAAGGAGCTAAAAGCCACCAGGAGAGTGAAAAGGAGAGTGAGGGGGAGGAGACCCTAGCCAAGAAGAAAGAGAACAGAGAGGAAGAAGAAGATTGGAAACTCACAGCCCAGAGCAGTGGAGGTCAAAGGTCCTCCTCTTTGGAGGAGAGGAGCTGTAAGCAGAAAAGCAGGGCAGCAAGACTGCTGGGATCCCCGGGGGACAGAGAGGAACAGAAGGAAAGATCAGCAGCAGGCAGTGGGAATAGTAGTGGGGAAGATGAAGAGCCCCTAGTGCAGAGGAAGAGCAAAGACAAGACCCAGTGGAAGGGTGGGAAAAGGCAGAGTGGAAGCAGTGAGGAGGATGGGGAAGACAGCTGGAGGAAGATGACGCCAACTACTGGAAAGACAGCCAACGTGGGCAGTATCAATGGTGAGGCAAGTGACTCGGAGAAGGAGGTGAGTGACAGCGAGGCAGAGGGGACCCCCAAGAAGGAGAGGAAGAACCGCTCTTCCAAGAAGAGCTCCAAGAAAGGCAGGACACGAATCTCCTCCTCCTCTTCCACAGATGGCAGTCCAGAACATAAAGGCAGGAAGGTGAGGGCTGAAGATGGGGTGGGAGGCTACCATCCAGGAAGAGGGAGACCCTGACTCAAGCCCAAAAGGCTTGGCCTTCAGCTGCTATCTTCCCTTGCCAGGCTGGCTCTGGTCGCCCTGGTGAGGACCACCCATCTGTGATGAGGCTGAAGCGCTACATTCGGGCCTGTGGGGCTCATCGAAACTACAAGAAGCTGCTGGGCTCCTGCCGTTCACACAAGGAACGCCTGAGTGTTCTCCGGGCAGAACTGGAAGCCCTGGGCATGAAGGGTGAGGCTGGGCGTGCCCTGGGGGCTGCAGGAGAAGGCCTTGGCTGCTGGGGAGGAGAGGATCACGAGCTTCTTCTGCCCCAGGTAACCCTTCCTTAGAGAAGTGTCGGGCCCTGAAGGAGCAGCGGGAAGAGGCAGCTGAGGTAGCCTCCTTGGACATTACCAACATCATCAGTGGTTCAGGTGAGGGGCTTCCTTCCACTGTCCAGGAGCAGATGGGGCATGGACTTTCTCAGGCAACTCATCTCCTGCTTTCTCATCCCCTCTAGGCCGGCCACGCAGACGCACAGCCTGGAACCCTGCAGGAGCAGCAGCCCCACCAGGGGAGCTATACTGCAGGACCCTGGACTCAGAGGAAGAGCGGCCCCGCCCCCCACCCCCAGACTGGTCACATATGCGTGGCATCATCAGCAGTGATGGCGAGAGCAACTGAGCTCCCCCTGTTCCCAGGAGGGACTTTGCACTTGTAGAAAGCATATACAGCATACCCACCCCAACTCTGCCTGCAGAGCAGAAGCAGCTTTCTTCGGAGAAGACTCGCAGCTCCCAGGGACACAAGTTATTGGGATTCTACTTCTCAGCTTCACATTCCCAGTGTAAAGTGTTTACAGGGATTTATTTTTGAAGACTCAATAAAGGAGTGTTTGAATCACCTCATCAAAACTGGTCCCCCACTCTCACCCCCTGTACTTTGGTCCAGGAAGCTGAGGAGTAGCCACTGTCCCCCTGATCTGGTTCCCTTTAATTTCCCCCAGATTCTCCAAAGAAAGTCCCAGCCTCCTGACCCTGCCATCCAGTCTGCCACCAGGCTTCATTCAAAAAGAGTGTGGCTGCTTTCTCCAGCCTGACCAGTGGGCCCCTCTGACCACCCTGCTTTTATTTATTTACTTAGGCCACGCTGTGTGGCATGTGCGATCTTAGTTCCCCAAACAGGGATCAAACCCATGCCCCCTGCAGTGGAAGCAGGGAGTCTTGATCACAGGACCGCCAGGGAAGTCCCTGACCACCCTGCTTTTAGTTGTCTGATAACCTAAAGCTTAGTTGGGAGGAAGATCTGAATAACTGGCCTTAAGAAGAATGTGAAGCACAAAATGAAAGGTCTTGGGAACAGCTATTGTTTATGTCTTTCTTCCCCTTTCTGGAAACAGCCACTTAGTCCACGGGCCGACTCTTTCAGCCTTAAAGCGGTGGGTACAGGGTCTAAACCCGACCAATCAGAGCACCCCAGGCCTCTGGCTACAGATCAAACCAATGAAGTCACTTCAGGACTGCTGGAATTCTTGCTGTTGAGGTTGTTGGCAGGTTGTAAGGTTGGAGCTGCCAGGGGCCTGTGGGTAAGGTGAACCTTCCTGAAAATCTGAAGCCAAAGCAAAGGGAAGCAGAGGTCCAGCGACTGATGACTTCCTTTGAAGCTCTGGATTCAGTCATGTCCAAAGTCAGTAAAGTCACTGAAATTTTTAGTTACACAGCCCAGTGAGTTCTCTTTAAATACAAGTAACACTATCACCTGCCACTGAACATTCCTTAACATACACCTTAGACAGAAAAGGTGAGTCCTGGGATCTGTTAGAATAACCAACAGTTTATTAAAAGCTTGCCATGGGGCTCTGTGCCAGCCCCGTAGCTGGGAGGGGCTCTCATGACTGCCCCCAGGCCTGGGAGCAGCCCCTTCTGAGGTTCTTATTTTGTTCCCCTGCCCCAGCTCAAATCTCAATTTAAAAAAAAAAAAAAAAAGGATAAAGGACAAGACGGCACAGGACGTCAGACAGCAACAGGGGAATGGAGAGACCCAGGCATCCTGACCCCAAGACCCCATCCTGATCTTTCTTTCAGGAAGACCTTTTCCTCCCGTTCTCCCCACCCCAGGCCCCAGACCTGCTCTGTCACATCCCAGGTCTGGGGGGCCTGGCGTCCCCAAGTCCATGGCCCCATTCCAGGGGGTAGTATAGTTCGCTTTATATAATATATCTAGACCCACCCTTCCCCTCCCCCAGGGGACTAGATGAATATTTGACACGCATATCTCCCTCCTTTCCCGAGGCCGTGATGGAGAGAAACCCTGGCACCATGGTGGGGAGGCAGGGGCTCCTGGTCAGCCTTGAGGCACCTATGCCCAAGCTGGCCTTGGGCCACTGGCCAGCCCAAGAAGCTCATGAGATAAGGTCTGAGGGGAGCTGGAGCCAACTTCCTGTCCCCCACCCTTGGATGGACCTCAGGCTTAGAGCCTCCAGGATCAGGCTCCACCCACCCCTGCCTCATTCATCGGCTTATCCACCTTGTACTTCAGGAATAGAAGTGGGAGGAACCATTGAGGATGTGGGAAGCGACACTGGTGCTGCGGCTCAGAGGCCCAGGCACTGCAGCAGCAGGTGGGCCCACATTGTCACTGCCACTGCCCCCCGAGGCTGCTCGTCGCAGGGGCTGGGGGCTGTTTCTTAGCAGCAGCAGGGCTCCACCACGGGGTGTCCCACTCTGTGCTGGGGGCCCCAGCCAGCTTGGGGGACCCGGGGGAGCCAGGAGAGAGGGCTGACGCCAGGCTGGGGGGGGCATGCCTGGTGGAGGAGGGCCATGGCTCCAGTGCGCCCCTGAACGGGGAACAGGACGGGAGGGCCAGGCGGGGGCAGGGGGTGGAGCAGGATAGCCCTGGGCAGCAGCCTCAGCTGGGATGCCCCCCAGAGCCATACTGGAGAAGCCCAGCCTCATGCTCTCAGCATCGAAAGCCTCGATCTCACGGGCCTGCCGCTCGAGCAAACTCCGGATTCGCTCAGAGCGCCCCGTCTGCAGGGCCAGCAGCTCCTCTTCCACCTGAGGCACCCAGAATAGAGGTCAGAGGGTCTGGGGTGGGGGCTGCCCTCCCCACCCCATCCTGGAAGCCCAGCCCTCTTACCCGCTGCTCCAGCAGTGCCCGCCTCAGAGCTACTCTCTGCTCCAGCTCCCGCAGCTCCCTCTCGTGTTGACTCTCCGTGCGGATCTTGATCTTGCTCTGGTAAGCATTGAGCAGCTCCAGCTCCTGTTGAAGCTGCTGCCGAAGGGCCTGGAACTCTGCCTCCTGGGTCTCATCAAGCCGCAGCTAGAGATTAGGTAGAGCAAGTTTTCGGGGCCTCCTCCCCTACCCCCACAATCCTCCCCTGCCCCAGCAGGCCTGGGCCCTCAGGTTTCAAGAAGCAGCCAGTCTCAACATCTATCAAAATGAAAGGTCGTCATACCCTGTGACACAGCAATTACACTTCCAGGAATTTATCCCCCAGGTATACTTGCACATGTGCTTGAAGGTGTTCACTGAAGCGTTGTAATAGCAAAATACTGGAAACAACCTAAATGTCCACCGATAAGGGATGGGTTAAATAAATTATGGTACATCCATACCATGGAAAACTCTATGCTCTTAAAAAATGAGGTATGTGTACTGACATGGAAAGATGTCCAAGAAATACAAGGTGGAAAAAGAAGTTAGAGACCAGTATATAAAGTATGATTCCACTTTTGTTTAAAATTTTTATATAATTTTCTAAATATGCATAGGAAAAAATCTAAAATACAATTAATTGTTAACAACAGTTACCTCTGAGAGGTGGGTTAGGTGAGGGAACGGCAATGAATAAGAACACTTCTACTTTTTACAGTGTTATTTTAAGTGGCCTATTCCAGTGTGATGTGTGATCACTTTTAGAACAGCAAACTTCAAAATCCTCCAGAAGTCTGAGCAAATTGGCCTGAGGGCCACAATCATTTTTATTTGTTCCCTGTTCACAGATTAAACTAACTCAGGCCCAGGAAAAAATTACAGCCACTCTTTCCTTGGTGGTTCTTGGGTGGAGTAGGCAGGCTGGCTTTGTCAAGACCTTAAGAAAATACTTAAGAGAAATAGTAAAACCATTGCAGAGAATACCAACAGTGGAAGAATATCTGAGTTTCCCAAGAGCAAAAAGCCCTATCTCTGTCTACACCCCCCACCTGCAGTGCCCACAGCTAAGCTGGAAATACAAAGGCCAACCTCCACCACGCTCCCTCCCTGGACCCCAGGCCTCACCGCCTGTGAGCTGAGCATCTCTGAGATGGACTGGTCGTACTGCTCAGCTAGGATTGCCAGCTTGCGGGTCTGTTCTTCCTTGAGCCGCTTAAGGAGGCTCTTGTGCTGAGCTTTGGGCGTGGTCTCCAGCAAGTGTGCCCGCAGAGCCTTGTACTGCCGAGTCTGGATCTTACACGTCTCCTGGAACTGCTTCTTGATCTGCAGCTCCTTAGACTATGCAGTGGACGGACCAAGGGGAGATGGGGGCAGGGGAGAGGAGGAGGAGGAACAACCAGGGGAAAGGGAGAAGAAAGAGAGGAGGAGAGGAGACAGAAGCAGAGACAAGAAGAGGGAGAGAAACAGAAAACATGTTAGACAGAGGGGGCGGGGGGAGCTGTATACAGACAGACATGGAGAGATGGGATTGTGTTGAGAGAGATCAGGAAGATTCTCAATGGGCAAGAGATGCAAAGAAAACAAGACATCTTCCAAGAGCACGTTCACAGAGTTGGGTGGAAAACTCACAAGAAACAGCAGGAGAGTTCATGGACAGGGAACTGAGAATCTTGAGAGTACTGAGTGCACACAAGAAGCTTTGACCATGCAAAGAGGGAGAAAATACAACCTAGAGATAGACGCCTGTGAGCAGATACAGAATATGAACAAGTGAGAAAACCAAGTCACTCAACACACACATGGAAGACAGCAACACAGCTGAGGAAAGACAGAGGAAGTCCCAGGTTCATCACCTCAGGGTGGGAGGGAGGGAAGGATAAGCACCAAGCTAAGAAATGGATAAGATGGGTGGCCCCATCTCGGGCCACATAAGGGAAAGGGGCAAAGGAGGTGGCCAGAAAGGGCCCGACAAGTTCAACAGGCCAGCAGCTGCCACCCTGACCAGATATCCACATTCCAGCCCGGCCCCTTGTATACTCAGCTCCCACTCCAAGCCCACAACCAACCCCATTTCCGCAGCCCCCACACTGTCTGGGCCCCCAAACTCACCACCCCCTACTGTGGACAGTTTGCAGTGCCATCCCCCCAGCCCTCTAGGGTAATGCCTGATGCCAGGAGAGAAACTCAGCTCCCAGACAGAAGGCAACCACGTAGGGAGTGAGTTGGGAGGAAAGGCAGTGAATGAGGACAAAAGGACCCAGAACCTGAGGACTCTCGGGGAGGAATCCACAAACAGGGGAACTGTGGGACCAAGAAGTTCTGGAGAAGCTCAACAGGGGCCCAGACCCCTGAACTGGTGGTGGTCATGGTGCAACGAAGCTATGAAGGTAGAGAGGATGAGGCTGAGGAGTGAAAGGGGTTGAGGTAACGTAGATGGGGTGAAGAGGTCATGGAACTGGGGGCCAAGGGTCCAGATTGGGGGCATACCGGGGAGGCTAGGCGGCAGGACAAAGCAGACAGAGGCAGCCTGGGCCAAAGGTACAGTTCCGCTCAGATATTTTATTTGTGTTTGTCTTTTTCTTTTTTTGGTGGGGGAAAGGGGACAGGTTGGAAGGGAGACAGAAAAACAAAATCAAAGAGAGAAAAAAAAAACATGACTCTTCCCACCCACTGCCACCCCTGGCCCCAGGCCTGAGTCGATGAGGGTGAGGATGAGCACACACAGTGGGAGAACAGCAATAACTTAGGG